AAACTGCGATGACTGCGGGAAAGACACCAGCGGACTGGAGAACGGGTGTTATTGTACCCGTATTCAAGGATAACCACAAGGAATGCTCCAATTACAGGGGCATAACGTTACTGAGCCTCCCAGGTAAAGTCTACGCAAGGGCATTAGAAAGGTGCCGTGAAATAGTTGACCTCAAGATCCAAGAAGAGCAGTGTGGCTTCCAGCGCGGTAGAAGCACCTCTGACAATATATTTGCCCTGCGCCAGACCGTCGAGTAATCGTGGTTGTACGCCCGTCCGGTGTACACGCTTTGTTGACCAAGAAACAGCGTATGACCCGATCCCACGCAACAGTCTGTGGTAATTCCCTCGAGCATACGGGATAGAAGTCCAGCTGCTACGGCCATCCAATCATTATGTTCGGCTAGCAGGTGCTGCGTCAAGGTAAATGGCGTTAAGTCGAAGCCTTTCAACATTCGCACTGGTCTCCGCCAAGACTACGTCCTGTCCCTGTCCCCTATCCTGTTTGTATTGCACATGAATAGAAATGTCAGGAGCTGCCAAGGCGACGAGCGTATCAATGTAACGGATGTGAAGACGAGAAGGTTGCTGTTTGCGGTTAACCTTGTTTTATTAGCATCTTCTGAAACTGATCTTCAGTGCTCGTTAGAAAGGTTTGCAGCTGAGTGCAACGTGACCGGCATGCGTGTGAACGCATCTAAAACAAAACGCCTGGTGCTTTCTCGTTCTCCTGCCCGTTGCTCTCTTCAGATTAACGGAGAGGCAGTGGAGCAGGTGGAAAAGTTCAAGTACCTTGGAACTGCATTTAGTACTGATGAAAAATTGGAGGAAGAGACTGACCGGCCTGCTGAAATGGGCTTTCTTAGACGAGTCGCTGGCCTTACGCGTCTTGACATGATCCGGAATAGTGACATCCGGAAGAGCTTTGGTATATAGCCTTTGCTTCTCCAGATTGAAAAGTCACAGGTGCGATGGCTTCGGCATGTTTTGCGAATGCCTCTAGAAAAGAAGGCTAAGCAATTGTTTCTTGCGAATCCGACCGGCAGAAGGCCCAGGAGACGGCCAAGACTAACCTGGTGCAAATATATGGAAGGAGCCTGCTCCAGACTGGAACTGTCTCCGGTTGAAACTGAAACTCTGGCCCAGGATCATGAATGCTGGAAGAACTGTCCGACGCGTCTGCCTTCGCGACTGAAAAGGAGAAATGGCCGAGAGATGAAGAAAATTCAATACAAATTAGTGCAAAAAATTCCGAATTTTAATAATTAAAATTGTGCTCTCCTTTCGAACAAAAGATTGAGAAGTCACAGCTGCGATGCCTTGGGCATGTGTTGCGAATGCCTCCAGAAAGGAAGGCTAAGCAAGTGTTCCTTACAAATCCGACCGGCA